GGAAGTTCGGCGTTGCCGCCGTACACTCACGCCAGAGATAAAGATCCGCAACAACAAAGGCGCATTCGCCGTGAATTCCAATATGGCCCCAGGCCGATCACTCACTCAACTCCAATCATCGATCCTCATACCCGCACCGACGATCCCGGCCGCCGCGTGCTAACTCCCACCACTGCAATCGTCACCCAGCTGACGTAAACTCGACGTGGTTCGCCCAGATCCCATAGTCCGTCGTGGCGATCAAGCGCGCAACCGCCCAGCCTATCGACAGCCTGACAGGACTTTCCGACTCGCATCAAACACTCTGCCTAGCCACTGCTTCCCGGAAGCTGGCTCAGGAGTCGAGAACGTAAAAGAGAGATTTGAGGGCGCGCTTGTGGAATTTATAGCAGCGAGGAGGGAGCCAAGGGAGGGAGAATGCAGGGGGAAAGTCGAATTGTAAGAGGAGAAGCAGGAGGAGAAGACTTTGAGAAGAGCGCTTTGCGGAAGCCATGTTGATGCTTCGAAACTCAAGATTAACCAATCAGACTCGTCGCGAGATAGGCAGATCCTACCGTACCCCGCGTCTGATTGGTGGGCGAGAGTAATCGAAGGATCGATTGGACTTCACAAGCTTCGCTCGAAGAGCGAGAAAAGAAAATGCGCGAGAAGTAGCGCAAGACAGGTCCAAGATTCAAAGGATCAAGAAAGGGGAAATGGGCATGCAAAGAGCTGAGCGGGAGAGAGACAGAGGGAGAAAAACAGTTACGAGGGGAGAGAAAGAGGAGGGGGAAAAAAAAAAAAAAAAAAAAAAAAAAAACAAACAAACGAACGAAGAACCGACGACTTAAGTCAGCTTTGCTCAGTTTGCCCTCCACACACCAGACCCTGTCTCTTATACACATCTAGATGTGTATAAGAGACAGCTTCTGCCACTGGTGCCGTTTCGTTTGGGTTCTTTACCACATGTACCTTTTTTTAGCACAGGTACCTTTTTTTTCCAAGGCCTGCACTTGGTTGGC